AGACTGGGTGATGCCCTGCTCGCTATAGAATCCGGGAAGAATGATGGAGCAAAACTCACCCACACGGTCAAAGTGGAGAATGAACATGAATATCACGAGTGGCCTCAGTGGCCAGCAACCACCTAATCAGGGTAAAATTCACGTCGGACTTCTTCGCCAAGAGGGACACCATGGTGTAACCGAAGTAGTCACCAACGACCACCAGAAAAAAGCTCTCCCTCTCGGGCCCAAGGCGAGAGGCAGGGCCCCAAACGTCCAAGTGGAGAGTTTAGAAGGGTGCGGTGGCCGGACGAGTAAGGAGTGGGGGAACTACAGCGGCAGATGCGGAGGCAACGAAGTGGATGTTGCTCTCGATGTCCTTGAGAGCCGTCTGAAGGACATCAATAGTGAGCGCACTAGGGTGCCTCCGAAGAAGCGCGTCACAAACAGAGAAGGCGACCAAGGAGGCTAGTGACGATGAAGTGAATAGTGATCGCCATGGGCAGGGGGAGTAGTGCAACTCAGCCTCGGTGCAAGCAGCACGGTGGTTGACATCGAGCGAGCGCAGGTGGGTGATAAGGTCAGAAGCGCGGTTAAACGCTCCTAGTTCGGGAGACAAAAACAGCAAAGCGACCAAGAGAGGCGGAGGAGGGAGTGGAATGATGGGTCTTAATCGCAGTGAACATGTCCTTGGCAGATCGAACCTGGGTGAAGTGAGCCTCCTCAGACTCGCGGAGAAGGATGCCGAGTGCAATGCAAGCAGCCGCGTCACGAGACTGCCACACCGATAGGGCTAGAGACGCCAGGCACGGAGAGGCACTAACCCTAACGTGCCCTAGGGAGGTCGACTGCGGCGGCCAGCCGCCGCGGGGAATGGCTATGGCAGCAGGAGCGCTGCCGGAGGGGCGTGGAAGGGTGCTGCAGCTGTGGGCGCAATAGGTACAGTTGCGCGTGCGGCGGCAGGCGCGTGCGCTGCTGTTGGTGCGCGTGCCGCTGTGCGCCTGGCGGCTGGCATACGCGCGGCTGGTTGCTACGCGCGCAGTTGCTGCTGTACAGGGCGCTGGTAGTGCATGGCTACTGCTGCGCGTGCAGCTACGTGTGTGCGGCTACGTGTGCGCGGCTACGTGTGTGCGGCGGCGTGCGTGGCTGCTCTTGACGGGACGGGGTGGGTAGTGTAGGACGGGCAGCGCGAAACAGGGCGGGTATCGCGGGCCAGGCAGTGCAAGGCGGGCAACGCAGGGCGGGCCGCGTGAAACTAGGCGGGTAGTGCGGGCTGAGCAGCGCGAGGAGTGCAGCGCATGGGGCGGGCAGCGCGGGGCGGAACGGGACCAGGCAGTGCGCGGCTACAGGGCGGAACGGGGCAGCACGCTGTGCGCAGCTGGCTACGAGTGGGGCGGGGCAGGGCGCGGCCTGCTAAGGAACGGGACGGAGTGGGCTAGGCTAGGGAACGGGGCGGGGCGGGCTAGGCTAGGCTCGGAGCGTTCCCTACTCGTGGTACCAAAGTGACAACGGAATGATGTGACTAGCAAGATGGGAGATACAAATACTAACCCTAGAAAGTGTTGTACTCCCCACAGCCCTACTCATTATAGCCTATCAGAGACAAGGGCTGCTATTATTATTTTCAGCCAACACCAGCTGGGAAAATAGGGGAATGTACCGTATCACCCCGGATATAAGCGCCATGGCGCTTATAATAAAATCGATTTTTTTAAGGGTGGCGCTTGTAATTGAATAATGGCCATAAGCGCCGTCGCTTATATAATGGTAAAAATGAATTTGCATAATTTAGGCATCAAATCCAAGCCCGTATTAAGGCGAACAAGACAGTGTAACGTGCGCATGGCATCATGCATGGAAACACGCCGAAAACAGACGCGCTTCGGTTTCCAACCGCACAAAGCCCGTCCAGGAGCAGCTCACCTGCCAGCGCTGATGCGAAACTTGCCTAGCGGCCCAATCAGGCTTTCGTGTGCTGGGTGGCAGCAGAATCCTCACCCGAACCATCTAGAAGCGGCCATCATGCCCTGCCAGCGCAGCATCGTGCGTGGCGCTAAACCCTCCTCTCCGGGTTCAGACAGGGGACACTCGTCTCTCCTCGACGAGGACCCCGTGGTGCTAGCCAGAAGGGGTCCCTTTGAATCCTTCATTTGTTCATTGCTTCTTTCGGTTTTTCGTTCTTGGTTCTTGATCTCTCCCGCCATGCTGCGGAAGCTATGGCGGAATTCACCGGGGTTCACTTCTTGTTCAAGAAGAAGCCTCCACGGAGGCCCGCGTTTAGAGTAGACGAAGACGGGTGGTACTCCCGCGTCCCACCATCTCTTCCTAAGCCACCACAGCCTCCTGCGCCTCCTGCGCCTCCTGCTCCTCCTTCGCCTCCTGCACCTCCTGAGCCTCCTGTTCCTCCGACTCCTCCGTGCTCGCATAGTGCTGCGCCTCCGCTACACGCTGGATCAACGCCCGTGCTGACGCTGCTGCTCCCATCGTCGTTTGACGAGTACCTCTCCGAACCCGAGTCTAAGAAGCCGCAAGATGAGTGGGTGGAAGTGGAGCACGTTCCTGGTTCACGGTGGGGACAGCCTGACGACTGCCCGTGGGACGAATCGCAAGTCGGCGCCGACGATGATGTTGAAGCCGAAGCTGACGCTGACGAAGAGGAAGCGAGCGGCACTGTCGGCGGCGAGTATGGCACGGAAGCGAGCGGCGGGGGCGGCGCCGAGGGCGGCTCCGCTGAAGATGTTTTTCCCGAAGACGTTCCCGGCGACGATGCCGATGACGGCGTGGAGTACTGGTCACGCGACGGGCTTCCCGAGACCCTGCCGATACCTTCCTATCCCCCGATGAATCGCAAGCGACCCCACCCCTCTTCCCAGAACCGTGATGCCCGCCCCCCCTCTCCCAGGCACAAGCTCACTGAGCACAAGAGGCAAGGTTACACCGCCGCGGAGAAGTTGAAGTGGGTTGCCAGGCTTGCTGTGGCAACGTCGGTGCGCGCTTTGGCTCGCGAGAGCGGAATCCACCCCAAGTGCCTCACGAACTAGAAGCGGGCGGCGGAGTTCCTCAAAGACGTGCACTCCGCTCGGAAACGCATGCACGGCCGCGGTCGGGCGTCGTGGTATCGGCCTATGGAGTTGAAAGTGTACGAGAAGCTTCTCGAGTGGCGCCGCAAGGGAACCGCTGTATCAGTCGGCCGCCTGCAGGAGTGGTCGCGGGAATACATGAAGCTGCTGTACCCGGAAAAGCCCTGGAAAGGGAGCCAGAGGTGGTCGGAGCGCTTTCGGCGACGATGGAACCTGAGTGTCCGCATGAAGACCCGGGTTGCCCAGAAAACCCAGTCGCGTAAGAGTTACCCCATGTACTTTGCCGTGTTAATGTTTACTTGTTTTACCGGTACTAACACCCGCCATCTGTGACCGTCCTGCCTTCCACCTCCCTTCAGATGTCGCGGAGCAGTGCAGAAGCTTCTGGAAGTTCGTGCGTGGCATGCGTCGTGAGCGCGGCATCGACACCGCGTGGATCATCAACGCGGACCAGACGCCGCTCTGGCTGGAGATGCCCGCCACCACCACCGTGGATGAATCGGGTGTTCGCTCGGTGCTTATCAGGAGCGCGGGGTATCAGAAGCAGCGTGTGACGGTGATGTTGGCGTGTACGGCGGACGGACGGAAGCTGAAGCCGTGGGTGTACTTCAAGCGCAAGACCGTGCCAAAGGGCAATTTCCCACCCGGTACGTCAATTGGTGCACTGCTCGTTAACTGCGGTTTGTTCAGACTGCGAATTCTAACTGCTTCTCTTGTTTCCTGCAGATGTGGTCGTGGCTGCACACGAGAACGGGTGGATGGACTCCGCGGGTGTCGTCCGCTGGCTTGAGGAGGGCGTCAAGCCCTTCTTGAAGCCCAGGTTCGGTAGATGCGCCAAGAGCTCGATGTTGGTGCTCGACTCTTACCGCGGTCACCTCACCCAGGAAGTGAAGGACAAGCTTCGCGAGATGAACTGCGTGCCGGCAATCATCCCGTCGGGCTGTACGGCGGAGGTTCAGCCCCTGGATGTCTCCATCAACAAGAGCTTCAAAGCGTCGGTCCGCCAGCAGTACCAGCGGTGGTTTGAGGCAGAAGGGCAAGAGCAGCTGACGACAGCAGGTATGGAATGAGCGCGTTGTTGTGTTTCAACCCCCCTTCCTTTTGCTTACCGTATGTATTGTTGGATTAACGGGATTCCATCGTTCTCCCGTTATTTTCAGGGAACTTGAAGAAGCCTCCTCCGGAGGTCGTCCTGAGGTGGATATCTCAGGCCTGGAAGTCAGTGCCTGCCGAGCTGATAAAGCGTGCCTTCCTCACCTGTGGCATCAGCAACGCGCTCGACGGCAGTGAGGACGGCCTCGCCATGGCGCACAGGCGGAGCCAGCTGACGGCGGAAGTGGACGTCGACGATGACATCATCGCTGATGGGTTTTTTGGCAACAACTGCCAGGAGCCCGAATCTGACGAAGACTAGACTAGTTAGCTAGAATTAGTGTTGCTAGACCTGCTGTTTCAGGTCTCTGATGTTGTAGCTGCTGTCATGATATTGTTATGAATGTGATTTCAATGTAAAACCAGCTAAGTAGTCGAATGGTGGCGCTTATAATAAGTACACAAATCTCAGGGGGGGCGCTTCTAATCGAGGTCCGGCCATAAGCGCCATGCTCCAGATAGAGGCGCCAGCGCCTATAATCGGGACGGCGCCTACGGTATATCCGGGGCGATACGGTACAAATGTTACACACACACAACTTGCTATCTGTAACCACATGGCAACCCATGGCCACTGGCTGCAACCACAAGCACAGAAGAGAGCAAAGAAACTTGAGAGTACACCCACACTACTCGACAGCTGTATCTGGTGCATCATGCTGAAACCACCATTACCACTGATGCCACCACCATTACCACTGATGCCACCACCACTGCCACTGCCACCACCACTGCCACTGCCACCACCACTATTACCTCCGCTGCCATAGCACGTAAACATCTTGCCACTCATCCTCCAAGCAAGGCGACTGTGACTGCAGCCACTGTCTCCTCCGCCCTTGCTGCAAATGGGGCTTCTTCCATCACCCATATCACTGCTTGCACTCTTGGTACATAGGCAGTGACTGCTGCTGTTGCTACTGCCAATGCATCTACTCTTTGAATTGCTGTCATTGCTGCAGTTGTCACCACTGTCATTACAACTGCAGCTGTAATAAAAGCCACCACCACCAGCGTCACTGCTGCCACAGCCAGCACCACTGTTGCCAGTCAATGTAGTCTCACCAACCCCACTACAACCACTGCAGTCAGTGGTGCTACAGTCAGTGGTGCTACAGTCAGTGGTGCTACAGTCAGTGGGACTACATTCAGCAGTAATACAGTAGGCTGTGTTACAGTCAGCAGTGTTACAATCAACGGTGCTACAGTCAGTGGGACCGATACTCCCACAGCAGCCAGCACCCCAAGCACCACCTGGAGAGCAGATGTCTACCTCTGCAGCCTCACTGCACCGCTGCGCAGCACATTCATGCACTGATGCTTTCAAACACGCCTCCTTACCCTCCACCTCCTCTCCACCTCTACGGTGAGTCCCACATCTGCTCTCTTCCTGTAGTTTTGGGTTGCAAGGCGAGGAGGTGTGAGTGTGACTCGCCTCAGTGCCAATGCTTCTCCTCCTGCTCCCACTCCCACTCCCCCTGGTCAGCCCAGCCATTTTCCCCTCTTCTCCTGTTTCCTCGCGCCTGCATTCACTCCCACGCACCATCTCCTGAGTAGCTAGCCTGCCACGCACCATCTCCTGAGTAGCTAGCCTGCCACGCACCATCTCCTGAGTAGCTAGCCTGCCAGCAGCACCGGCACTGCTGCTCTGACAGCACGCATCACCATGGCTGCTTTTGCAGAGACTGTTGGGACTGCTTGGGTGGCAATCAGGACAACCCACCTCACGCCCCACCTCATGCTGCCCAACCTCGCCTTCCACTCCGTGGCTTTTCACACATGCCTTAACCACATGCACCTCTCTCATGAAATCCTGCACTGTTGCTTCCCAGCACGCTTCCTGTCCTTCAACCTCCCCTCTCACGGCTGCCTCACTATGGCGTGTGCTCTGTTCCGGTGGCTCTGGGTTGAAAGGCAAGGAAACGTGACGCGCCGTAGCGCTGACACTTCTCCCACTGCTACACCCCGTGGTCAGCCCGTGCACCTGCTCCACCTCTGGTGAACTCTCACTCCTGCTTGCACTCTCACCCACCTTCTCCTGCACAGCTAGCCTGCCAGCAGCATCGGCACTGCGGCTCTGACAGCAAGTGTGGGGTTTGCTTGCATGGCACCCAGCGCAGCACTCCGCACACCCCACCACATGCTGCCCATTCGCGCCGTCCTTTGGATGCGTTTCCAACCACGCCTTTTCCACATGCACCACTCCACCACTCACCTTCCCCTCTGCTGTGAGACCCTTCCCACTCCTGCGTTCACCCGTTCCACCCCTGCAGTCAGTCTTACTACCCCCCTCCCGCACCACTCCCTCTCCATTCTCCCTCGTCTTTTCCTTCCCCCACTCCCTCTCGTGGCGCCCACACTCGCCTCCACACGCTGCTCTGACCCACGGGTGATTCAGCACCTCATGAGCCTTGAGCCTTCGCCCAGGATCCGTTACAAGCAGACACCTTAACAGCTGCTTAGCCTCCCTCGAAATGCCCTCCCATACCTCGCCTTTCAAGTCCGGCGCCGAACCTAACACTGAAGCGAAAACCTCACGGTGAGTCCTCCCGTGAAAAGGCACAGTACCTGAAATGTTAGTGGGATTGAAAGATGGCAAACACATTCAGCGGTAAGATGTGAATATTGTGAGGGATGTGCAGCAGGCAGCACCTTCACATGTCCTTCTCACCAGCTTCTTGAAAAGGGTGTTCTTGTGTGATCTCACCGGCAAGAACCGGACAACCAGATTACCATACCATGTGTATAAATTGCAACGTACCCGACAGGCTGGTGTAGAGGATGCAGCCGAGGCTCCACATGTCGACCTCCCCCGCATAGGGCCTCCCCCGGATGATCTCAGGCGCCATGTACAAGGGCGAGCCCACCACCCCACACGCTGCTGTCTGCCCGCGCGACAGCGTTGCTGCCAGCCCGAAATCCGCCACCTTGACTTGAATGCCCGTGCAGGGACAGGGAGGGGGGCTGGTTGCCGTGATGGTACGAGGAGGAGTAGTGGTGGGAGAAGAGGGCGTTGCTGCCAGCCCGAAATCAGCCACGTTGACTCTCATGGCCGTGCAGGGACAGGGAGGGGGGCTGGCTGCAGTGGTGACCGGAGAGGGAGGAGGGGACGAGCAGAGAGGAGGACAAGGAGGAGCAGGAGGTGCAAGAGGAGAAAGGGAAGCGGTGGGGGAAGAGGGTGGAAGAGAGAGACAGGCGGAGGAGGGATGGGAGGCGAGAGAGGGGGATGGTGGGTGGGAGTTTCGTGAGAGGTGGAAAGGAGATGATGGAGGGAGAGCAGGGGAGGGAGGTGATGGAGGGAGAGCAGGGGAGGGAGGTGATGGAGGGAGAGCAGGGGAGGGAGGTGATGGAGGGAGAGCAGGGGAGGGAGGTGGTGAGGGAAGCGGGAGGAAGGGAGAGGATGCTGGGAGAGTAGGTGAGGGCGAAGACTGGAAAGAAGTTTCCCTTATGCTGCTCCCTGTGCCGTTACTGCTGCTGCTGCTCCTCCTCCCAGTGCTTGTGCTGCTGCTGCTGCTATGTCTAGCAGAAGACGGGACTGAGCTTATGGAATCTTCAAGTGACTGTAACGAGGGAGGCGTGTCACCACTGCAAGTCGTATCAGTCTTGAAACCTTCCCTGCAATGGGAACATCCCTGGCTGGTGCTGCTGTTCCCCCCACTGCAGTTCCCACTGCTTCTACTGTCAACGCTGGCATCACTACCCCCATCTTCACTGCAGTTGCACTCAGCTACAGTGCAACGGCCTCTACAAGCACCGGGGCCGCTACTAAGGAGTATGTTCTCTGGCTTGAGGTCGCGGTGCACTATGCCCGTGCGATGCATGGCATGCACTGCCAGTAGCAACTGCCTGAGAGGGGACAGCATGGGGAATAGGAGGCAAGGAGGAGGCAAGAAGGGCAGGGAGCAACTGAGAATCTAGCACTCAGAATGGTCTCCGCAAGGGCAGTGGTGCGTGGGGGTGTGAGGTGGTTGAGAATCGGTACTCCTGACATGCCCTCTGGCAGGGGCGGAAACAACACAGGGCATGAACAACGGCGAAATCATGCACTCACGAGTGGGCGGGGGGATGGGACGGGGGAAACAAAGGGAGGGGGGGGGGATGGTGTGGAAGAGGAGAAGGATGAATGGGGAAAGTAGGTAGCCCTCAACAGAACGCCGTTCGTTACCCCTCAACCCAAATTATGCCTGTATTCTCTTGTTTGAGGCGGTGGGATGTTGGTTGATGAAGAAAGGGCGGGTTGAGAGGACATAAAGGGGTTTTGTGGGATGGGCGTGCACCTGAACGGAGCTGCAAGTTGTGCTTCGTTAACTCGTTCCTGCTTTATAACGAGGTCAAATAGATCGTTGGTGCAGAGGCAAAGGGCGGTAGCGAAGAATGAGGGAGCGTATGCGCCGGCTACATACATGCGCCAGCGTATGCGTAGCGTATAAATACCTGAATACCGAGGCGGCTTGTGCTTCGGTAAGTCGCTTCTGCCTTATAACGAGGTCAAACAGATCGCCACCCGGGCAGTACTCCAGGATGAGATGTAACGCCGTCCCCGTTTCAACTACCACCTCGTACAACCGTACGAACGCCAGCTCCTCCCGCTCCCCATCCGCGCTGCCTGCTCCGCATTCCCCCCTTTCCCGCTCCCCTGCCCCCTGTTCTTTCCCCCCCCGTTCCCCCTCCCCCTCCTGCAGGCGCAGCAGCGACAGCACTTCCGCCCTCAGCTCCATGAGGTCGCTGCGGCGCTGGGACCGAGAGAGACCGAAAGGGGGGTGGGGGGGGGAAGAAGTGGGGGAATAAGTTGGAGAGGCGTCTTCGAAGAAGCTTGCCCCTTCAGCTCCATAAGGTCGCTGAGACGCTGGGGAAGACGGGGTGCGCGTGCGGGGGGAAAGGTTTACGGGCGGAAAAAAGGGGGAAGGGAGGGAGGGTTGGGCTTCTTTGAGAGCAGCAGGGACGAAACTTCCGCCCGCGGCTTCACGAAGTCACCGGAAGGATGTAGGGAGAGAGGGAAGGAGGCGAGAGCGCGGCATTTGCTGGGAGAGGAGGATGGCGGCGCGGAGGCTTGGGGAGGCAAAATGAGGGGAACGAGGGTGGAGAGGAACGCGGAGAAAGGACAAAGGGTTTGTCGCGTGTGCGGGAGGTCCGGGGATAGAGGGAGGGAAGGGAGGAGGAAGAGGAGTACGCAAAAGATACATTTTGTGCGACTCACCCGCACGCCGCTCAGCAGTATCGTCTTGCACGCGAAACGCTCGCCCGTCGCACGGTCTTCGCACAGTCGCACGACCCCGAAGTGGCCGCGTCCCAACTCGCGGCCAACCTCATAAAGCTCCGACAAACGCGGGCAGCGCGACTCATCCGCCAACACGGTGCGCGCTGCCGTGACGTCTGATTGCAAATGAGTGGCTGCGCGCAAAGCATCGGCTGTGCGCAGTTCCGCTGGCGCTGTAGCGGGTAGAGTGCGCAGCTCCGCAAGCGGAGTTTGTTTGCACAACTCTGCTGCTGCGTGCAGTTCCGCTTCCGCCTCCACTCCTACTTTCCGCATCCTCAGGCCGTCCCCCATGGCCCCTCCACCCTCGGCCTCGCAGGCGACGCTCGCGACGCACGCGACGCCTCTGCGAAAACTACTTCTTTTGCAGGCAGTGGAAGGCGTGTCGTTTGTCGTCGGTGCAGCCTCAGCCTGCGACGTGGTTTGAGGTAGTAACGGCTGCGAGTCGCGGGTCTTGGGAAGCGCTCCCCCTGTCGCGGATCCTACAGGGCACCGGACGAGAGAAGCCTCGAGATTGACGAAGAACGACTCGAGGCGCTTCGATATTTCCGCGACTGACGCTCCGTGTCGCAACGAAAGACGCACGCTACTGTCATCCATCTCGTGCTGGACTCGTGTCGTAAGAATCAGCAATGTAACGATGGCCTACGGTCACGATGATTTGTACGCAAATAAAAGGATAAAGTTTTGCTCTGCTTTCTGCTTTCTCACTCGCGTCTAACGAGTTGATGGACACCAAGACGTGGATTCGGCTCTTTGGCGCTGCTACTGATGTGGATTCTTGAACAAGTGCTCGAGTTTGGAGGAGAAATTGGACTCGTGTGAGAGGGTTGGGCTCGGTGATGGGGGGGAAAAGCGAAGGTGATGGATGAAATGGGGCCGCGCGTCAGATGTTGTCGTTAGGTTGCCCTGCCCTAGCTTTTTTATTCGTTGACAAGTCCTGACCATAATAATCATGCGGAGCAAGAAGAAAAAACACTTGCCGAGTTCTAATCAAATTGATGTCTGGAGCACAAGGCGCATTCGAAAACATGTGGCACCGAGTTGCAGCGTCTAAACGCCAGGATCTATCGCTGGAGCTCATTCCAACATCCCACCGCGACAGATAGACCAATGGGATGCCTACAACAAAACTTTCGCAGCTAACCATAGTACAGTAATTAGCGCGGCGGGAATGTCAGGAACGGAGCCGAACCGCTAAAAAGAACTGTTCTCTGTAGGGGCGGTGAGGTTGGACGCGGGAAACCGAACAAGCACACTTCGGGAACCCCGCTCCAGCGCGTGTTCTGCTATGGGCCAAATCAATATCGAATTGATATTTTATATTCTTATAAAATAAGTTCCTACCACATACAAATCTGTTCTGGTAGTATCCTACCAAAAGCGCACATTGCTTTGTGCTTAGCTATGGGCGCATACATGCACGGACTTAAGGAATAGCACCATTAAACAATTTGAGTTCCCTATGAATTATTGGAATCTGCTCGCCACTAAACACCCTTCGACACAAATCATCTGACATGCACATGAGATGCTCCATTCCGCAGCACTATCACCCATGAATCAGAACCACGCCCGCATGAAACAAATCACTGCGAGCCCTTTCACCAACCTTGCTTGCTTCCACCTTCAACTCATGCAGCTTTGGGAAGCTTCCCAGCAGCAGTCCAATGCAGTCTGCAGTGATCGCATCACACTCAAGCATGGTCAAATGTGTGAGCATATCCAATCTGCTTCTTGCAACCACCCAGTCTGAAAAGTCCCCACTGCGTTCCATGGTTAGGGCCACCAGCACGCGGCAAGCACGCAGCAGCAGCACCAACTGCTCCTCCTTCAGCCCGAAGCACGACACCAGTGTGAGGCGCTTCAGCCGCCCAAAAGCAGCAGCAAGTGCAACGGACTCAAAGGACTGCGGCTGAGAGCTTGGGCTTGACATGGCAGCGGGAGAGACGCGAGAAGTGGGGCGGGAAGAGGAAGAAGAGGAAGAGGGAAGGGATGCAGGAGCGGAAGAGAGGCACATGAGAGGCGATTCAGAGGGAAGGGATGGAGGCGGCCAGGTAGGCTTGGAGTGCAGATGAAGTGAAAGGCCTCTAGAGTCAAGGAGTGTAAGGGAGGGCAGACCACCTCCACGGGAATCCCACCAGAGATGCCACTCGATTTACCTCCCAGATGTTGTGCCCTTGTGCTGCTGCCAGATGTTGTGCCCTTGTGCTGCTGCCAGATGTTGTGCCCTTGTGCTGCTGCCAGATGTTGTGCTCTTGTGCTGCTGCCAGATGTTGTGCCCTTGTGCTGCTGCCAGATGTTGTGCCCTTGTGCTGCTGCCAGATGTTGTGCCCTTGTGCTGCTGCCAGATGTTGTGCCCTTGTGCTGCTGCCAGATGTTGTGCCCTTGTGCTGCTGCCAGATGTTGTGCCCTTGTGCTGCTGCCAGATGTTGTGCCCTTGTGCTGCTGCCAGATGTTGTGCTCTTGTGCTGCTGCCAGATGTTGTGCCCTTGTGCTGCTGCCAGATGTTGTGCCCTTGTGCTGCTGCCAGATGTTGTGCCCTTGTGCTGCTGCCAGATGTTGTGCCCTTGTGCTGCTGCCAGATGTTGTGCTCTTGTGCTGCTGCCAGATGTTGTGCCCTTGTGCTGCTGCCAGATGTTGTGCCCTTGTGCTGCTGCCAGATGTTGTGCCCTTGTGCTGCTGCCAGATGTTGTGCCCTTGTGCTGCTGCCAGATGTTGTGCCCTTGTGCTGCTGCCAGATGTTGTGCTCTTGTGCTGCTGCCAGATGTTGTGCCCTTGTGCTGCTGCCAGATGTTGTGCCCTTGTGCTGCTGCCAGATGTTGTGCCCTTGTGCTGCTGCCAGATGTTGTGCCCTTGTGCTGCTGCCAGATGTTGTGCCCTTGTGCTGCTGCCAGATGTTGTGCTCTTGTGCTGCTGCCAGATGTTGTGCTCTTGTGCTGCTGCCAGATGTTGTGCTCTTGTGCTGCTGCCAGATGTTGTGCCCTTGTGCTGCTGCCAGATGTTGTGCTCTTGTGCTGCTGCCAGATGTTGTGCCCTTGTGCTGCTGCCAGATGTTGTGCTCTTGTGCTGCTGCCAGATGTTGTGCCCTTGTGCTGCTGCCAGATGTTGTGCTCTTGTGCTGCTGCCAGATGTTGTGCTCTTGTGCTGCTGCCAGATGTTGTGCTCTTGTGCTGCTGCCAGATGTTGTGCCCTTGTGCTGCTGCCAGATGTTGTGCCCTTGTGCTGCTGCCAGATGTTGTGCTCTTGTGCTGCTGCCAGATGTTGTGCCCTTGTGCTGCTGCCAGATGTTGTGCTCTTGTGCTGCTGCCAGATGTTGTGCCCTTGTGCTGCTGCCAGATGTTGTGCCCTTGTGCTGCTGCCAGATGTTGTGCCCTTGTGCTGCTGCCAGATGTTGTGCTCTTGTGCTGCTGCCAGATGTTGTGCTCTTGTGCTGCTGCCAGATGTTGTGCTCTTGTGCTGCTGCCAGATGTTGTGCTCTTGTGCTGCTGCCAGATGTTGTGCCCTTGTGCTGCTGCCAGATGTTGTGCCCTTGTGCTGCTGCCAGATGTTGTGCTCTTGTGCTGCTGCCAGATGTTGTGCCCTTGTGCTGCTGCCAGATGTTGTGCTCTTGTGCTGCTGCCAGATGTTGTGCCCTTGTGCTGCTGCCAGATGTTGTGCCCTTGTGCTGCTGCCAGATGTTGTGCCCTTGTGCTGCTGCCAGATGTTGTGCTCTTGTGCTGCTGCCAGATGTTGTGCTCTTGTGCTGCTGCCAGATGTTGTGCTCTTGTGCTGCTGCCAGATGTTGTGCTCTTGTGCTGCTGCCAGATGTTGTGCCCTTGTGCTGCTGCCAGATGTTGTGCCCTTGTGCTGCTGCCAGATGTTGTGCTCTTGTGCTGCTGCCAGATGTTGTGCCCTTGTGCTGCTGCCAGATGTTGTGCTCTTGTGCTGCTGCCAGATGTTGTGCCCTTGTGCTGCTGCCAGATGTTGTGCCCTTGTGCTGCTGCCAGATGTTGTGCCCTTGTGCTGCTGCCAGATGTTGTGCCCTTGTGCTGCTGCCAGATGTTGTGCTCTTGTGCTGCTGCCAGATGTTGTGCTCTTGTGCTGCTGCCAGATGTTGTGCTCTTGTGCTGCTGCCAGATGTTGTGCCCTTGTGCTGCTGCCAGATGTTGTGCCCTTGTGCTGCTGCCAGATGTTGTGCCCTTGTGCTGCTGCCAGATGTTGTGCCCTTGTGCTGCTGCCAGATGTTGTGCTCTTGTGCTGCTGCCAGATGTTGTGCCCTTGTGCTGCTGCCAGATGTTGTGCTCTTGTGCTGCTGCCAGATGTTGTGCCCTTGTGCTGCTGCCAGATGTTGTGCTCTTGTGCTGCTGCCAGATGTTGTGCCCTTGTGCTGCTGCCAGATGTTGTGCCCTTGTGCTGCTGCCAGATGTTGTGCTCTTGTGCTGCTGCCAGATGTTGTGCCCTTGTGCTGCTGCCAGATGTTGTGCTCTTGTGCTGCTGCCAGATGTTGTGCCCTTGTGCTGCTGCCAGATGTTGTGCTCTTGTGCTGCTGCCAGATGTTGTGCCCTTGTGCTGCTGCCAGATGTTGTGCCCTTGTGCTGCTGCCAGATGTTGTGCCCTTGTGCTGCTGCCAGATGTTGTGCTCTTGTGCTGCTGCCAGATGTTGTGCCCTTGTGCTGCTGCCAGATGTTGTGCCCTTGTGCTGCTGCCAGATGTTGTGCTCTTGTGCTGCTGCCAGATGTTGTGCCCTTGTGCTGCTGCCAGATGTTGTGCTCTTGTGCTGCTGCCAGATGTTGTGCTCTTGTGCTGCTGCCAGATGTTGTGCTCTTGTGCTGCTGCCAGATGTTGTGCTCTTGTGCTGCTGCCAGATGTTGTGCTCTTGTGCTGCTGCCAGATGTTGTGCCCTTGTGCTGCTGCCAGATGTTGTGCCCTTGTGCTGCTGCCAGATGTTGTGCTCTTGTGCTGCTGCCAGATGTTGTGCTCTTGTGCTGCTGCCAGATGTTGTGCTCTTGTGCTGCTGCCAGATGTTGTGCCCTTGTGCTGCTGCCAGATGTTGTGCTCTTGTGCTGCTGCCAGATGTTGTGCCCTTGTGCTGCTGCCAGATGTTGTGCCCTTGTGCTGCTGCCAGATGTTGTGCCCTTGTGCTGCTGCCAGATGTTGTGCCCTTGTGCTGCTGCCAGATGTTGTGCCCTTGTGCTGCTGCCAGATGTTGTGCCCTTGTGCTGCTGCCAGATGTTGTGCTCTTGTGCTGCTGCCAGATGTTGTGCCCTTGTGCTGCTGCCAGATGTTGTGCTCTTGTGCTGCTGCCAGATGTTGTGCTCTTGTGCTGCTGCCAGATGTTGTGCTCTTGTGCTGCTGCCAGATGTTGTGCTCTTGTGCTGCTGCCAGATGTTGTGCTCTTGTGCTGCTGCCAGATGTTGTGCTCTTGTGCTGCTGCCAGATGTTGTGCTCTTGTGCTGCTGCCAGATGTTGTGCTCTTGTGCTGCTGCCAGATGTTGTGCTCTTGTGCTGCTGCCAGATGTTGTGCTCTTGTGCTGCTGCCAGATGTTGTGCTCTTGTGCTGCTGCCAGATGTTGTGCTCTTGTGCTGCTGCCAGATGTTGTGCTCTTGTGCTGCTGCCAGATGTTGTGCTCTTGTGCTGCTGCCAGATGTTGTGCTCTTGTGCTGCTGCCAGATGTTGTGCTCTTGTGCTGCTGCCAGATGTTGTGCTCTTGTGCTGCTGCCAGATGTTGTGCTCTTGTGCTGCTGCCAGATGTTGTGCTCTTGTGCTGCTGCCAGATGTTGTGCTCTTGTGCTGCTGCCAGATGTTGTGCTCTTGTGCTGCTGCCAGATGTTGTGCTCTTGTGCTGCTGCCAGATGTTGTGCTCTTGTGCTGCTGCCAGATGTTGTGCTGCTGTCCGTTAAGTGCATTTTGCCACTGCTCACTGTCCTCCCTCCCTTGAGTCTTTATTCCCTTGCATTACCTCCCCTTGCATTACCTCCCCTTGCATTACCTCCCCTTGCATTACCTCCCCTTGCATTACCTCCCCTTGCATTACCTCCCCTTGCATTACCTCCCCTTGCATTACCTCCCCTTGCATTACCTCCCCTTGCATTACCTCCCCTTGCATTACCTCCCCTTGCATTACCTCCCCTTGCATTACCTCCCCTTGCATTACCTCCCCTTGCATTACCTCCCCTTGCATTACCTCCCCTTGCATTACCTCCCCTTGCATTACCTCCCCTTGCATTACCTCCCCTTGCATTACCTCCCCTTGCATTACCTCCCCTTGCATTACCTCCCCTTGCATTACCTCCCCTTGCATTACCTCCCCTTGCATTAGCTCCCCTTGCATTACCTCCCCTTGCATTAGCTCCCCTTGCATTAGCTCCCCTTGCATTAGCTCCCCTTGCATTACCTCCCCTTGCATTAGCTCCCCTTGCATTACCTCCCCTTGCATTAGCTCCCCTTGCATTAGCTCCCCTTGCATTAGCTCCCCTTGCATTAGCTCCCCTTGCATTAGCTCCCCTTGCATTAGCTCCCCTTGCATTAGCTCCCCTTGCATTAGCTCCCCTTGCATTAGCTCCCCTTGCATTAGCTCCCCTTGCATTACCTCCCTTTGCATTAGCTCCCCTTGCATTACCTCCCCTTGCATTACCTCCCCTTGCATTAGCTCCCCTTGCATTAGCTCCCCTTGCATTAGCTCCCCTTGCATTACCTCCCCTTGCATTAGCTCCCCTTGCATTAGCTCCCCTTGCATTAGCTCCCCTTGCATTACCTCCCCTTGCATTAGCTCCCCTTGCATTACCTCCCCTTGCATTAGCTCCCCTTGCATTAGCTCCCCTTGCATTAGCTCCCCTTGCATTAGCTCCCCTTGCATTAGCTCCCCTTGCATTAGCTCCCCTTGCATTAGCTCCCCTTGCATTAGCTCCCCTTGCATTAGCTCCCCTTGCATTACCTCCCTTTGCATTAGCTCCCCTTGCATTACCTCCCCTTGCATTACCTCCCCTTGCATTAGCTCCCCTTGCATTACCTCCCCTTGCATTAGCTCCCCTTGCATTAGCTCCCCTTGCATTAGCTCCCCTTGCATTAGCTCCCCTTGCATTAGCTCCCCTTGCATTAGCTCCCCTTGCATTAGCTCCCCTTGCATTAGCTCCCCTTGCATTAGCTCCCCTTGCATTACCTCCCTTTGCATTAGCTCCCCTTGCATTACCTCCCCTTGCATTACCTCCCCTTGCATTAGCTCCCCTTGCATTAGCTCCCCTTGCATTAGCTCCCCTTGCATTACCTCCCCTTGCATCCCTCTTTCTTGTGGCTGTGATATTCCTCCTCTCCTTTGCTCCGCTATTGCGGCTGCATCCCCGATTACTGCTGCTCCATCTGCTGGTGCTGCTTCTGTGGCCGCAGCACTCGCACCAGCAGCAGCAGCAGCGGCAAAACCCGCAGTACCAGCATCACCAACATCAGCAGCACCACCAGCCGCATCAGCAGCATCAGCGGCAGCATCAGCAGTTGCACGAGGCATGCGCATGGTCCTGAGGCTCTCTGTCGCCGCATTGCCCTGCTCGTAAAACTGTTGCAGCAGCGACTCCATCACACCCAGCGCATGCGCCTGCGTGTCAACCCCAGCAGCAAACCCCCCAATCTCACCCTCATCCTCACTCCCTTCAGCCCCATCAGCACCGTCGGCAGGCAAGTCATGGTCCAGCACCATCCCATCAAAGTCATGGTCCAGCACCATCCCATCAAAGTCCTCCAAACGAACCGACCCCCCTTCGCCCTCGCCTACCCTGCTCCACGTGTCAACAAGCACGCCCGCAGTCGTGGCAGCAGCAAACGCCTCACTCAGTGCATCCTCCCGCTCTGTCGCAGCGATTTTCTGCGACGCTGCCACTCGCAGCGCCCGCCACGTTGAGATGCCCGCCCTGATCTTCCCAGTGGCGTATTTGATCTCCGACAGGGCATCTTGGCGCTGTGCCCGTGCCAGGCGAGCCCAGTGAGCAGCACAAGGCACGGTTGTGTGGCAATCCTGGGCCATATCCAAGAGAGCGACCACGTCTCCACTTGACTCTATCAGGTCCGCTCGGGCTGCTGCTGCCGCCGTTCGAACGTCCACATGTACTCGCCTTTCTCCACTTCGAGGGTTAACTGCTCGTGCTTCTGCCGCAGGCCCTGCTGCTCCTACTCTTGCTAGTGCGGCATCAGCAGTCATTGTAGCTTCACTCGCTCCCTTCCCCCTGCCAACCTCTTCTGCTTCACACTCCTCCCATCTACCCGCCTCCCCAACCACCCCTCCATCCCTTTCTACGTCCCATCCAGCCTCCCCTCCCTCTCCTCCCCTCTGCACCACGCGCACCAGCAGGCCCACGAAACTCTCAAATGACACGTGTTGATGCATCATGGTCCCTCCCCCTTCCCCTTCTCCTTCCCTCTCTCCTCCTCCCCTTCCTTCTCCACTCCGACTCTCAGCATCCCCCCCACCCGGCGCTGCAAGTTCCTCGGGCATTCCTGTCAGCGCAAGGGAGTGCAGGCCACTGCAGGGGGCCAGCATGCCAGGGCGGAAGGACGGCAGCCCTGAGAGGTCGAGCGTGTGCAGGCGGGGCGAGGAGAGGAGGAGGAGAGAGCGGAAGGGCGGGGCGCTGAAGAGGTGGTTGGTGGTGCCGTGGAGGGCGAGAGAGGCGAGAGCCGGGTTGGCTTCAACCAGCGCTGCGAGGGCGTGGCTGGAGACCAAGGGGCAGTCGTGAATAGTGAGGTGGGTGAGCGTGTGGAGGGAGCAAGCGAGGGCGTGCAGGTCGAAAGGGTCGATGGTGCAGGCGAGGAAGGCGAGAGAGGCGAGGTGAGGGAAGGACGCGAGGGGTGCGAGGCAGGACTGGAGCTTGGCGGAGTGCAGGGTGAGGGACTTGAGGGAGGCGCGGACAGAGGAGGAGGAGGAGGAGGAGGAGGCGAGGGAGGAGAGGGTGGAGGGAAGGGGGTTCCAGAGTGTGAGGGAGGTGAGGGAGGAGCAACAAGTGAGGGGGTTTAGTTTCGAGGCAGTGATGAGGAGAGCGAAGGAGTGGATGGGAGGGAGGGGGGTGCCAGTGGAATGTGGGTAGATGATGGGGCGCCGGACGAACGGCGAGTCGAGCTCCAGCGATGCCACGAGGCTGCCAGGTGGGAGGCGAGGGAGACCCGGGGAAGGAGGGAAGGGGAAAGAGGGAAGGCAACGGAGGAAAGGGGAAGATAAAATGGGTCGGGGAAAGGAGAAGGGGGAAAGCAGGAGGGACGAGGAGAGGAAAAGGAGAAAACAAACTACGAGCTTTAAAAAGAGTGATGGCATTGGGGCGTTGAGGAGAGGAAGGAGGGAGTGGGGAAGAGGGAAATCAAAAGGTCATTCCTTTGTGAGCTTAAATGGTCGATCGTGTGACTCGTTATAAGAACGAGCTGAGTCAAGTGTCAATAGCGAGGACGAGAGGCGCAGCTCACGGGCATTGCTTGGCGAGCTTGGTCCACGCAGCAGCCTTCATGTGGAAGTCCCCCCATTTCGCCACCAGCTTCAACCTTTCCAGTTTCGGGCAGCTCGCACCGACCTTCGCCAGCAGCTCACTTCCCCGGATCGAGCAAACCTCCACGCTCAGTGAGATGATGTGGGTAAATACCCTTGAAAAATCGTCGAAAGCTTTGAGAAAGCTGCGCACATTGCGATACTGGAAAGGAGAGACGAAGAAGAAGTTGAGCGAGTGGGGCGTACGGCGGGAAAGGCGGTGGAGGCGGGAGCAGGAGAGAGCGACGCTGCAGCAATCGCAGGGGTGGTTCAGGCGGGCGAGAAGCAGCAGAAGGAGGTCGTCCGGGAGCGACAGCAGGCGACTGCCTTTCGTTTCATCCTTCAACGACGTTTTCCGGCGCGTTCTTTTCATGGTCGCGAACTAGTTCGGCGAAGGGTAACAGTTAGGGTTACGCTGTGAACCGACTTCAGCTGGTGGGTTCGTGACGAGTGCGAGAAGAGAAGAAGGTGGCATTGATGGAACAAATGACCGTCGAAACAAGCAAGCCACTAACGCGGGCCGCGCCTAGGAAATGTTAGGTTTCGAACCCTCTTGTAAAGCTACTTTCAAGTAACTACTGCTGAGTTTCATGGCGAAAGAAGCTCTGCTAGGGCGCAGCAGAAAAAAATATGTCGGGGGCAAGACAAGTGGATCGGGAGGGGGAAAGATATTACGCTGTGTGTGGGAGATGGAAATAAGTAGAACAAGGCTGGGTGTCTGAGGGAGAGGGAGAGAGGAGAAGAACAAGGCTAGGTGTGTGTGAGGAGGCACACTAACGCCGCGGTTAGTGGAAGTGGCATCTCTGCGCAATGTGAGACTGTAGAGCATGCTATGCTGCCATGAGTTGATTGACACACCTGAACCTCATCAGAGCACACCTGAACCTCATCAGAGCACACCTGAACCTCATCAGAGCACACCTGAACCTCATCAGAGCACACCTGAACCTCATCAGAGCACACCTGCAGCTCATCAACACCCACCTTAAGTTCATGAAAACTCACCTGGCGCTCACAAGAGCACATCTTAAGTTCATCAGAACTTACCTCAGGTTCATGAAAATTCCCTGAAGCGAACCTCATCAGCCTGGATGGAGCCGAAGCAAGTCAGGATCACCCGTAGATTTGATTTGCCCTCTGCTGCTGTAAGCTCTGTCACCTTCGAGAAGTCAAGACAGAATTGAGGCGGATTGCCCAAAAGAATGAATGAATGACGTCACAAGACAAGAAACGGAGCCACCCTTTTCTGCTGCCGGTGGGGTGAGTTGCGACACATGCAAGGAGTGGGACGGAATAACCTGTACACAACACTTGTGGACATACCACAAGGAAAAAACGTGCAGTCTGCTGCTTCCAGCACTGTCACCCGCACTGCATGGAATTCTTCTTCCTCCGAGCTCGCACGCAATACATGGACAAGAACTTCAGCACACTTTCCGCAGAGGATAAGCCAAAAACAAAGTAGTCCAGGTTCCTGCTAGCTAGGCATTGCTTCCACTCGCAAAAGAGATTACCCTTTTTCTGGCCTGACCCGCAAACAGGAAGGCACTGTGACTTGTTAGAAGTAAGATGATGAAACATCTCCTCTCGTTCAGTCCAACATCCTCCTCACTTGCGTGCCTCCCTGTCCCTTCCAGCCTACCTGCTCTCCTCTCTCAACCATTCCCCATCTCCATCCCATAGCTCCTTTTCCCTCTCCCTCTCCCTCTCCCTCTCCCTCTCCCTCCCCTCTCCCCTCTCCCCTCTCCCACCCCCATCTACCTCTCCCCTCTCCCACTCCCCTCTCCCTCTGCCCACTCCCACTCCCCTCTCCCTCTCCCTCTCCCTCTCCCCTCTCCCTCTCCCCTCTCCCTCTCCCCTCTCCCCCTCCCCTCTCCCTCTGCCCAATCCCACTCCCCTCTCCCTCTCCCCTCTCCCACTCCCCTCTCCCTCTGCCCACTCCCACTCCCCTCTCCCACTCCCCTCTCCCTCTCCCCTCTACCCACTCCCACTCCCCTCTCCCACTCTCTCTCCCCTCTCCCACTCCCCTCTCCCACTCCCCTCTCCCACTCCCCTCTCCCACTCCCCTCTCCCTCGTCCTCACTCCCATGAATCCCAGGACGTACCTTCATGCCTGCCTGCCTGCCTGCCTGCCTGCCTCAGCTGGGGAGATCACCCGAGCGGACCAGCGTTGCTCATGGATGGGCGTTAGGGGAGTGAGGGCGAGGAAGAGAGAGAGAAACAGCGAGATGAAGAGAGGGAAATATGGGGGTTTTGCAGCAGCGCGAGCACGTTTTCGTTGAATAATGGCGTCTGGCATGAAGAGAAAACAAGAGCAAGGGAATGAGGATGAGAAATAATGGATATCGGGGATTGTGAATGCATGAGAGGGGAAGACGAAGGTAATCAGGAAGAAAGCGAGGAAGAGAGCGAGGAAGCGAGTTGGCGGCGGGAAATACACAGGAAAGGAGAAAGTGGAACAGCTGAACACTTGGGGTGCAGCAGGTGAGGGGAAACACTTCATGTCAATCACTAGATTCTGGCACGCGAAACCGAAAGAAATAGTCACACGGGAAAGAAAATACTGCAAAACGATGTACCTTGCAGGATGTGTAAAGGACCTCCGGGGGCTCGCATTCGCGCGATCCGCGATTCGATCCAGAACCTGCTGAAAGCGGCTAGCCGTCTCTAAAATCCATCCTCAAGGCGGCGGCGGAGCGTACGAGCGCACGCGGGAGGCGCAAAATCCGCCGCTTCCGCCGAATCTTCCGCCTTGCAATGAAGCCGTGATCGTTGCTTCGATAATACATTTCCAGTCATCGTAACTGCTGCAGCGAACCCATGCGCGACCCATTTCGAAAGAGCAGCGATTGCACCGTCACGCGAGCATTGGAAAATGGCTGCTGACTGGCGTCAGCGCGACTCGGATGTGACGGGAACGAGCAGGCAAGGAAAGCTAGGTGTTGTGCCTTGTATGTGGGCAGGCATGAGCGATGCCAGATCTGGTAGAGGTTGACTGATGAAAACGAAGTGGTGCAGTTCGGCTGAGTGAGCGCAACACGCAATGCGCAACTAACGGGTGAGGAAAGCGAGCTGGTGCCTGAGGAGAATCAGTGGTGCAGTTCGGCTGAGTGAGTGCAACGCGCCAAAACAGTTCTTGCTAGTTATATCAGCGTTTAAAATAATATCACCAACACAACTCAAACTCACACTTCACACAGAAGCAACCGTGCAGCATCCATAAAATAAGGGTAACATAGAATATGGTGGACATGGAACATGGTGTTTCGTTTTGCTTATTTTGTTTTCATAGCATATTCACAGCACTTCCGATTTTCAGGAGAATTCATTGGTGCACAAATATGCATGAAATGGTATTGATGGTTGAGAATGCAGAAAGTTTATGACGAGGAGCTCCCTAGGGAGTACTACACGAATTCACCCAGTCTGACCTCGATCTCATCCCCCTGTTGTTCACAGATTCAGAGCTTCGCTACCAAGCCTATCTTCCTTCATTTGCGGGAGGCACAGCGGTACCACCCTCAGGCATTTTCGGGAATGGGAGTACCCCACGGGTTCGTCAGCGCTTCGAGTGCGGTCAGGCAGGCGAAACTTATAATTTCATGCCGTCGACTTTGTAGGAAAGAAGTTCCGCTGGCGCGCAGCGGAAAACGTTTTGGCGGGGGCAAGACACGATGGAATCGGGGTTAGCAAAAAAGCAGATCCTGGCGCGTCGCTCCCTTGCGGAGACCCTCGGTGAGAATCGGTTCACCAGCAGATTCGTTCCCATTTTCGCGGTTTCAGTAGGTTTCGCGTAGGCCCAGCACAAGGTTCCGATTTTTCGGAGGTGCTCGGGCAGTATCCGAGAAAAGTTCCTCCTGTGAGTGTCCCCTCCACACAACCTCCATCCCTCTCTCTCCTGCTGCTCGTCTCATCTACAAATCCAACGCACTGAAGTCTTAGTTTCAGAGTTAAAAATCCCGTTTCTTCTTGTTCTCTTGATTGAGCCTTTTTCTAGCAAGTTCAGACCTCTCATAACGTTAATTCGTTCTTGATATCGCTCTCGCGGAACCTCTTCGCTCTTAGCGTTTAGCTTTGCTTTTACTCCCACTCACGCTCGGTTAGCTCGATGGCTTGTTCTTCTGACTTTCCGTCCATTGCTGAGCGTTTGGCCCTCTGGGAGAAGCGCGGTTTTCTGATCAGGATGAAGCGTTATGCTCGGTCGTCTACTGAGGGTCCCACGTTCGCCGAGGCTATGGCCTTGTTTGAAAAAAAGGCAGCGTTGCTGCAGGCTCAGCGTCATGCTATGCTGCAGGCGCAGTGTCATGCTGTGCTGCAGGCGCAACACGATGCTTGGATGTCCTCCTCAGCTCACTCTCCGGCTGCTGAGGAGGAGGAGGGCGCGTGGATCGTGTCTTCTCAGGACCACGAAATGCCACAAGCTGAAGTAGAGGCTGCAGAGGAGGTCTTCTCACTGTTTATGGCTGCAGAGGGCGTTGGCTCTGAGGATGATTCGGGTCTGAGCAGCAACTGCAGCAATGTCGCTGAGATGGGCGGTTCTGAGGCATCCAGCACGACCTGTGGTTTCTCTGGCAGCAGCTGCAGCGGCCAGAACTCCAGCGAGGAGCCTTCCACTGCCATTGCTGTCAACATCCTCTGCCTTGGTGACTGCAAGCTCAACGGCTATAACTTTTACAGCAAGCAGTACAGTGATAGTTCGTTGCTGCTTGATCTGGTGCTTCTGCTGGTTTCGTTTACAGTGAGCAAGAACGTGGTAACTGCTGTGCATCTGGCATCACGGATGGGTCTGCTAGGTGCAGACCAGAGCTTGGTCAGGGGAACGCCTGCAGCCAGTTGGAGACTGCTCCCTACTCGGCGTCTCCAGCCTGGCAGCACGCGACCAGCAGCAGGAGCGGTTGTGGAGAAAGTGGCAGTGACTGCTTCTGGTGGAGCCCTCAAGCCGTTCCAGGACGGGTCAGCAGGGAGCACAAGGCAGCTGTATCTGAGTGCAGGTGTGCTGTGTGGATGGAGGACAATGGTTGCTCCTTCCAGTGGAGGCTTGAAGGAAGCGGCAGTAGCACCACAGAGGAAGAGGCGGCTGGACTGGGTAGTAGGTGGGACGTGTGGGTCAAGGGATGTCCGTTTGAAAGTATTAGGTGCTGGTTCTGGTGGGGGTTTCATGGAAGGGTCAGCAGCTCAACAGGGTATGAGGAAGGAGGGTCGGGTTGGAGGTGGAAGGGAAGTGGCGTCAAGAGCATTGGTTGTTGTTTCTGGTGGGTCAGCTGCTCTACAGAGCAGGAGGCAGCAGCAGGGAAGGCTTGGGGTTGCGACGCCTGGAGTGAGGGAAGCAGCTTCACGAGTGTTGGCTGCTCTTTTTGGCAGGTCTCTCAGGGAAAGCCCAGCATCATCAGCACTGAAAAAGAAGCAGCTGGAAAAAGTCGTAGGCAGGAGATTTGGAGCTTGGAAGGATGCTTTGTCATGGGTAGTGGCAATAAGGCCTCCATGGAGGCCCTAAGGGATGCTGTAGGGACACTGTACAGGATACTGCTTAGGTGTAGACTTGTACAATTACTTTCATGTTCTATTTATTATAGCCATTGTTGTGTTGTGATGTTCTGATCAGTCACAGCTGTAGGAACATGGCTGGATCATGGCAGGAAGCTTCCACTAATTAAAAAAACAGGAAATGGCACCATGGACCTGGATGCCGTCTGAATGCTGGTGCTGGGCCAAGTGCTTGCGAAGATCTGGATGCTGGTATTCTGTTCATCACGCCAGGCCATCCATTGGCTTTGTGTTGTGTGCGGTATGAAGTGATCAGCTGTACGGTACTGGTTGCACATTACAAACCTTTGGTTGGTTCCTGGCAGCCAAGTTTCACATTCTAGCGATTGTACGTATCTGACATTGCAAGTGCATAAGTTCAGCCAGCCCAGAACATTTGACATTATGTATGTGGCCATTCTGTTTTGCTAGCTGGTAAATGGATTTGCCATGCCATGCCACCCTTTGCTGGCAAAACTGACAAGACAGCTTCGTTTGGTTGGTGAATAACAGTAGAATTTTTGAAGCAGGAAACGTGAATCTGCGCATGGAAAGAACAATGGAAACAGCAGGTGGGGATGATGATGGTAAAGAAACCAGCAGACCACTGACAGCAGATTGAGACAAACACAGCAAAATGACTGAAATACCAACCTCAGCCATATCCCATTCTTTTCCTTGCAACCCCAGCCAACACTCCCATTCTTCTCCCATGGTTCATGGGCTCATTGCCACGTGGCAAACACAGACCAATGACACGCTGGCAGTGCCAAGCTGGAATTGGGTGACGAGGAGATGGATGATGGAGGTGAGGTGGACATTGAGTGGACTGAACAGCCACCTCTGACGCATCAGATGAAAAGTCGCCTCATTGTCTGTCAAATGAGCTCGTACCTCGGGTGATAAGCTGTTCTTAAGTGGACTTAAAGACATAATCGTCTGATGAGATGAGCACGTACCTCGGATGCAGCCTGTGAACGGCCCTGAGCTCGCTGCAGTGCCTTCTTTGAGCAAGCATCAGGTGATGACAGTGTGAATGTATCAATGTGCTTGCTCTGGCGCAAGTGCGGCTGGGTAGGCAAAATTTAATATTCATGCCATAGAGTTTGTAGGAAAGAAAGCTCTGCTAGGGGTCAGGAACCACGATAAACCCGGTTTTACAGTTGGGAAGGCGATAGAGGTTTTAGAAAAGGTGCTGCTGGGTGAGGGTGTGTTATGAGGCGCCCATAGCACCTCAACCGCCTGAATGGGGAGGTGGGGAAGGGAGAACAAAGGAGTAAGGGAAGGAGCGAACTGGGGGAAAGGGGAGGGAAGATCCCTCTCTGAGAGGGTGTCTCGCTGTTGCGAGGCGTTCACAACACCTTCACTGCCTGGAAAGGGAGGAGAGGCGGGGAAGGATGAGAACAACGGAGCAGGTGAGGGAGCGAAGTGGGGAAAAGGGGAGGGGAGATTCACTGCAGGTCCCGCTGTCATGAGGCGTTCACAAAATTTTCACCGCCTGGATGGGGAGGAGGATGGAAAGTGTTTTGACACTTCTCCCTTTTGGGGAGGAGGAAGAGAATGTCAGAAAAGGGAGAGATGGAAGGAGAGAGTACAAGGCCTCGCGTGTGAGGGAGAGGAAGGAAAACCGTACACAAGGGTCGTGTGTACAAGGGAGAGGGAAAGATGACAATAAGCCTCAATCTGTGGAAGTATCATCGCTGTGGTCTGTGAGACGATGTAGCATAATGGCATTGCCTGAATTGATAGGCATTGCCTGAATTGATAGGCATTGCCTGAATTGAATGGCATTGCCTGAATTGATAGGCATTGCCTGAATTGAATGGCATTGCATGAATTGAATGGCATTGCTTGAAGTGAATGGCATTGCCAGAATTGAATGGCATTGCCTGAATTGAATGGCATTGCCAGAATTGAATGGCATTGCCTGAATTGAATGGCATTGCCTGAATTGAATGGCATTGCCTGAATTGAATGGCATTGCCAGAATTGAATGGCATTGCCTGAATTGAATGGCATTGCATGAATTGAATGGCATTGCCTGAAGTGAATGGCATTGCCTGAATTGAATGGCATTGCCTGAATTGAATGGCATTCCCTGAATTGAATGGCATTGCCTGAATTGAATGGCATTCCCTGAATCTTATCACCTCATGACTCGAAGAACACATGAAGCTCTTCAAATCAAATCACGCCTGAAAATAATCAAACACACGTCAAGCTCATCCAAACACACTTGACGCAGACCAAAACACTCCTGAACCTCATCAGAACTCACCTGAAGCTCATCAGAACTCAACTGAAGCTCATCAGAACTCACCTGAAGCTTATCAGAACTCACCTGAAGCTCATCAAAATTCACCTGAACTCACCAGAACTCACCTGAAGCTCATCAGAACTCACCTGAAGCTCATCAGAACTCACCTGAAGCTCATCAGAACTCACCTGAAGCTCATCAATACTCACCCGAAGCTCATCAAAACTCACCTGAAGCTCACCAGAACTCACCTGAAGCTCATCAGAACTCACCTGAGCCTCATCCGAACTCACCTGAAGCTCATCAGAACTCACCTGAAGCTCATCAATACTGACCTGAAGCTCATCAGAGCTCACCTGAAGCTCATCAGAGCTCACCTGAAGCTCATCAGAACTCACCTGAAGCTCATCCGAACTCACCTGAAGCTTATCAGAACTCACCTGTAGCTCATCAGAACTCACCTGAAGCTCATCAAAACTCACCTGAAGCTCATCAATTCTCACCTGAAGCTCATCAAAACTCACCTAAAGCTCATCAGAATTCACCTGAAGCTCATCAAAACTTACCTGAAGCTCATCAGAACTCACCTGAATAGGCAAGAACGGAGCTGAGGCGAGTGAGGGCTACCCTCAGGTCAATCAAAGTTTTGATCTGAGCTCAGCCCTTTGCACTGCCAGTGCCACCCGCCTCATCCCTTTGACATAAGACGGATTGCAAAAATTAATGATCCATCATGCTTAAACACGTTACAGGGACGGAAGGCGCACTTTGCTGCTGCCTGCAGCACTGCCACTTGCGTTGTGAGTTAGTACTCACGTGAGGAGTGAGAAGTAACCTGTAAAAACTGGGCATGGATGGACATAACACAAGGTAAAAACGTGCACTCTGGTGCTGCCAGCACTGTCACCGTAACACTCAAAATCAGCACTGTCGATGTGCTCCCAAGTTTCTCACTCAATTCCTTTAGGCATTGTCACAGCTAGTGTTCAAAATGCTTCTTAGTCCAAGGAAAGAAGACAGGAAGGGAGCGCGGGTCAAAAGGAAGAACAAGCAAGGAGAGAGGGATAGGAGGAGTCCAGGCTGTAGTGAGGCTTCCACGATGGAGAAAACGGTTCGGGTTCTGAGATTTTTCAGGAACGCACTTGTAGGCTGACATGAATCCTTCCTGACAAAACATTCCGCAGCGGTATTATCCTCAGACGCGGCACAATGGGCTCGAATAGCTCGCTGGCACGTGATCCGTGGAGAACCTTCGAGACTACCGTTCGCTTAGAGCTCATACAATGACCCATTATCACAACTTACAACCTTGGAACGTACCAACTTCTGAGACGCTGGTGTTTTAGCTTATGGAAACAGCAACTTTGCAGAACCCCCACGTTCCAGTGAAAACGCAGAACATGCTTGCTTCGAAAATACCTCTCCAGCGATCCAGACTGCATAAGAGCCAATTTCGACACACTTCGAGAGAAATGAGAGGTTGAACAATCTAACGGAACGATACACTTGTCGTCACATTCGTTGATCGTAGATTCACACGGAGAGTTCCAGCCGGGATCGTCCGCAGCGGTACAACCAGACGCGGCAGATTGGCTCGAATAGATCGCAGGCCACCTGTTTACCACTGACTGGCTCGAATAGATCGCAGGCCTATGCGAATCGAATGCCTACATTTCCCTAATGCATCTGCAAAATCGTCTCACCTCAACCTAACCCGAAGTTGACCTGGAAGTCACCTCTGTGTCACAAGCCTTGGTGAGTCGAGAGTCAATGGGTCCGTCAAGTTGGGGTCACTTAACATTGACCCCAACCTAACCCGGCAGCCAACCCAAAGGTGATCCACAGGTCAGTACTGTTCATCCGAGTCGCTCTCCGCAATAGAGTGATGAATTACCCTACACGCCTCGCAATGAACGACGCACAATTGGCAATTGCTTGAATGGCTTAGCTCGCAGGCCTGTGCGAATTCATGGATGCACTTTGCGTGAAGCTCATATGATGGCCCATTATCGCAACCTACGACCATCGATATCGTATCAGCTTCAAAGACGCTGGTGTTTAGAGCTTTGCCCTTCCTTCGAAAATACCTCTCCAGCGATCGCGACTGCAGGAAACCCATGTGCGACAGATCTCGAGAGTTGTGACAGCGCCGACAGGCGAGGATTGGTAGTGGCTATCGACTGGCGTCGGCGCGACTCGAAGATGACGGGAAAGAGCAACAATTTTTTTTTAAGGTAATTATTATGTACACCGAACAGGGCAAGCATACATAGACAATAACAGTTGTAACTGTGCATGAGGGGAGCCACGTGGCCACCCCAATTGCGGAGTCTAAGGAGGACGGTGAGTCATCCTTGGAGATAGCCAGATAGAGTTGAATGCTTTCGTCCACGTCCATGACTAGTGACTCTTGTCCCTGATCCGAAACAGTAACATGCTTTCGCCCTCCATCGTGCAACGGAAAACCTCTTCTTGCCTCGTGCCCTGTCTCTTTCTCCATTGGGCGTCCCTCGTCCTTGTGTAGATTCGTGCATGCAGTCGAAAAGCAGTCTCAATCCGACGGAGCACCTTCCTCGTCCGGAACTTCGTGCCTCTGAAGACTGCATCACAGCCCTCCAACCAGAGCTGGTGCAGCGTGATGGATGTGAGCGTGGCTTCAAGAAATGCCGTGCTGACCCCCGCCTCCTGGAACTGTAAATCCCCCAGTGACAACACCGCGCGCGAGCCGTTCATCAAGCGGAGAGTTTTTCGGGGCGCTGAAGTCACCTCCTGAATTTTCGGGCAACTGTATAAACAGTGCTCAAAAGTTTTGCACCCACCACAGTGCGGGTAGGCCGGTTTACTGCTCAGAAACGCCACCCGCTCCCCCACCTGCAGGTTGAGATTATGAATACGCAGTAAAACGTCCCTCGGCCTGCTTGGTGTAGCAAGCGATTCCCGGATAGCGATCGTTTTCTTCCAGTTACATAGACAATAACAGTTGTAACTGTGCATGAGGGGAGCCACGTGGCCACCCCAATTGCACAGTTAATGTGCCCGTTCCACCTCTCCTTCCACTTCTGCTGCTTCGCCGATGGTTTCTGCCCTGCCCTCCACAACAGCTTCAACTGCTTCATTGGCGCAACGCCCCCATTTGCAAAGACGGGGAAGTCAGTGAGTTTGCGCCCGGCAGAGTGATGCGCCTGCCGAGACCCAGCCGAGTTTGTTGGTTGCCCCTCTTGAGAGGGGGCACTGAGCAGCAGATCTCTCCATCTCGTAGGCGCAGCCTCAAACGCCCTTACTGCAAGCTTGGCTGGCCCCTTCCCTCCTAGCTCCCGCTCGAGAGTAGTTACGTCTTTGAGCACCGGCAGGCCAGAGCTGCCAGGTTTGAGTAGGTCACCAAGCCGCTTCTCCCAGAGCGGCTTCGCATCCTTTTGCCCCCCAACACGTGTAGTACCCTTCAGCAAGATCCTCTTGTTGAAGACTATCTTCTCGCTGACCACCGCTTCTCTCGTATTCGCCTCCAGTAAGTTGCCCAGCGGCGTTTTCATGAAGTTCTCACACGCTGCCTTCCACTGCGCGCTTTTCTCCCCCCAGTGCTTCAGCAACTTCTCATGAGCGAAGAATGTCTCCATCCCCATAGGTAGGTCTGCCGCCCTTGTCATCAGATGCTTCTTAAGCCGGTTCGTCTCCAGCGCCAGCAGCCCCACCCTCCTAGCCGTGAGGCAGGCAAGTATCATCTCAGGATCTTGTACGCCAACCCCACCAAGCTCCCTCGGGGTATGCAGCAGCCCCGTGCTCCAGAGCCTAAAACCTCTGTCTGCCGTTGCCCGGTTAGCAGATGCAAAGTTGTGGAAGGTTTTGGAGATCGTCCCCCATAGCTTCGCCGGAGGTGGGTAAACTTGCGTTTGAAACGCCGCCTTCGGCATCGTGTAATTATTGACCACCGCCGTCCTTGCCTTCGTGGGAAGGTATTTCTACTGCCACTTCTTGACCTTCCCCGAGATACTCTCCGCTGTTTTCTCCCATGTCTCTTGGCAGCTACCCGAGGGAGTCACCCAAACCCCAAGCAGCTTCTCCGCTTCGTTCTCCTTCGCCCACCGAAAACTATGCGTCCGACCCGTCGTCCGTCCGAGATTGTTCCCGTAAAACAACTGACTTATCTCGATTTGTCACCAGTCTTGACGTCTGTAGGAACTTTTCTAAAACCTCCTCTGCCCTTTTCAACTGCGCTTTTTCCTCCAGGACCTGAGTGGTATCATTTGCATAGGCGATGTATTCAAGGCGCTCCCCTTCCTTACTAATACCCAGCTTCCGTTTGATGACCAGCTGCGCCAGCGGCTCAACCGCACAAAGAAAAAGGTACGGAGCCAGTGGTCACCCTTGCCTGACCCCAGAAACTACTTCCACTCCTTCACCCATCCAGCCGTTCACTAAGAGCCTCATTTGTGTCCCCTTGTGCAGGCCTTCCACCCAGCTTACTAGTCGCTCCGGGTATCCCATTGATCGCAGTGTCCGGAAAAGGTAGCCTTGCGACACCAAATCGAACGCCTTTTTGAAGTCGACCAGAAGAAGAAACCAATCTTCATTGTCATTACGCGCGGTGTTGATGATGTCAGCGACCAGGCCCACTGCATCAGTCAGCCGCCTTCCCGACAGGAAGCCATATTGCTCTGGCGAGATCACCTTGGACAGCGCCTTCTTCATCTGGTCTGCAACCACCCTCGCCAGCACCTTGTAGGTAAAGTTGAGCAGTGTGATAGGGCGATAGTTGTTCAACTGATCCTTATCGCCTTTTTTGTGAAGCAATATCGTGACCGCCTCTTTAACTTCTGTTGAAAGAACCGCAGACGACGCGAAATCCTTCGCCAGAGCCATGAAGCCCTTTCCCAACAGGTCCCAGTGAGCCTCAAACAGTTCTTTTGGCAGACCGTCCTTCCCCGGGGACTTGTTCGCCGCCATCGCACTGAATGCTTTCTTAACCTCTTCTTCAGTCCAATCCTGCGCCAACTCCGCCGCTTCCCAGTCTGTCAATTTTTTCCCCTTCTCAGGCTTCCAGTTCTCCTCCAGTTGAGATCTGTCTTTCCCAAATATATCTGCAAAGAAATCGGACGCTGCACGGAAAATGCCCTGCGAGTCCAAGACGACTCCGCTGGGCGTTTGCAGCTCGGAGATCTGAGTACACGCCTTCCTTGCCTGCACCATCGCCGTCAGGTGCTGTGACGCCACTTCCCCTGGGAGCTCCATCCGCATGCCGGACATAAGATGCAGCTTGTCTTTGCGCGAAGCCTGGTACTCTCGTAACTGCAGACCCATCGCCGCTAACCTTTCACTGGTCATCTTGCAGGTCGGGCTGCGCATCGCCTCTTTACGGAGTTCTGCGGCAATGTCGACGAGGTGCGACACCGTAGCCTTGACATGCTTGCCTTCCTCCCTTGCGAAGGCACGGAGTCCCACCGCCAGGCGCGACAGTAGAAGTTTGAAAATGCTGCCATCGGTAACTTCAACCTTTGCCACTGTCGCCTCCACTATCTTCCTCACCCCCTTCTTGTGCACCATTGATGCGTGTAATCTCCAGAGACCCGGCCCCATGCAGATCTTTGCGTCCAACCGGAGAGCAATCCTGATAGCAAAACCATGGTCAGATATATAGTCAGATGGCATCACATGAGACGCCTCAGATGAGGTAAGAGAGAATGCGAGAGAAGAGCGCAGTCAGTGCGCGTGCTGGCTTGTTGAGCTTGCGAGAAGAAATTGAACTCGCGCTTCTTCGGATACAGCGTCCGGAAAGCGTCAGAGAGCTGGAACTGGCTGCAGCGAGCATAGAGTCTGTCGTTTTCCGCCGCTGACCCAAAACGGGACGACTTATATAGCACTGGATCCTCTATGATGTTAAGATCGCCGATGATAAGCAGGTGACTCGTCGGTGAGAGCTGATCTATCACCGGGCCTAGCGTGTCACGGAGGAAGGCTGCGTGAGGGGTTGCCTTTGCGGGGAAGTAACAGGCTAAGACGGTGAGTTGCAAGCCGGGACCATGGATCTCGGCTGAAACAAGCCTACCCGAGGAGTGGACTAACACGTTATGGAAGCTAAGGCTAGGCGACCTACAAAGCAGAGCTCCTCCGCCGGCCTTCGACTTAAGTGTGGCTGCTGCAACTAGGCTGAAGGTAGGGTGGGGCCAGAAAGGGTGATCTGAGGCAAGTCTAGTGTCTGATAGGGCTACTATGTCTGCTGCTTGTTTTGACCAGTTTATAACACGCTGCTGTTTGGTGAGATCTCCTAGGCCGTTGACATTGAGGCCCATGAAACTGATGAGGCTTCTTTTACTCATTTAACAACAGCCTGATAACCCCTACACATCCACAGGGTAAGAAGGCAAGACACACCGACTACTGTGAAAACTACCGCTGCTGCTGCTGACTGACGTCCAAGCTTAATAAGTCTCAGATCCCATAGGCCTTGGTAATGTTGAGGCTGGCCTTCTCGAGAGAGACACGAGTGGCTGATCCAAGCTGCTCCAGGTGGATGAGATGGTTGGCAGACGTGATGTGTGTCAAACTATATTTCTATAGCTTGTGTAGTTCTAGTCTAGGTGTTCTCCCTTGTGTTATTTTGTACTTGCACTAGGGTTAGGTTTTGCATATATCTTGTTTGTACTTTTTGTTTTTTAGCTTAACTTTTACATCGTGACATGGTATAGAGCTAGGTTAACCCTAGCGAGATTTTCCCCTTAGGAAAAAACACTCGACTATCATGGGCCCACCTAGTCGCGCCCCGTCCTAGACTGCCCGTAGCGCACTTACCTTAGGACCCGTCGCCCGTAGACCCCCCTCCCCCCCGTCGCCATTCGCCCGTCGCCCGTTTCCCCCCGTCGATCGCGGCCGTTTTCTTTTTTTTTTTTCCCCCGTCGCCCGTCACCCGTCCCGGCTGTTCCTTAACAGGCCCCGCGGCCTTTCGTTAGCGGGCCCCGCGGCCCTTCGTTAGTGGGCCCCGCGGCCCTTCGTTCGTGGGCCCAGAGGCCCCTTCGCTAGCGTGCCCCACGGCCCCTCCGTTAGTAGCACGCACGCACAGAAGCAACCGCGCGCACCAGTGACCCGTCCCCCCACCCGTTTCCCACCGCCGTAACCGCCGCCCACCCGTTACACGCGGCCCTACCCGCTGCCTTACCCGCCGCCCACCCTGTTAGCCGTCGCCTCACCCGCGATCTGCCGCCCCACGAGCAGAAAACAGCCGCCACACCAGAAATCGGCTGCCCCAGGAACTGCAAACCACTGTCCCAGACCTGAAACTGCCGCCCCACCTGGAAACATACTGCACCACCCGTTCCAGTCACCTCACCCGGAATCAGCTGCCCAACTCAGTACTCTCCACTGCACAGAACCGCACAGAACCGTGCAAAACCGCACAGAACCGCACAGAACCATGCAGAATCACGCAGAACCGCACAGAACCGTACCGAACCGCGCCGCCTTACCTTCCCCACCCGTCGCCCGCTGCCTTAACAGCCGCCCCACCTGACACCCGCCTCCCCACAAACTACCACACCCACCGCCAGTAGCACTAGCAGATTACACGGCCTCCAGTAGCACCAGCATCCTAGTCTACGGCCAGGAGCACCACCAGCAACTTAGACTGCCGCCAGTCGCACCAGCAGCAGCTTCCACTGCCGTCAGCGCACCAGCAGCAACTTGAACTACCCCCTAGAAAAACCAGCAACTTACACCGCCCCACCCGGTACTCCCCAACCGCGCGGAACCGCACTGAATTGCACAGAACCGCACAGAACCGCACCCGCTGCCCCACCCGTTCCAGCCAGAGCTGCTGCCCCACCCGTTCAAGACTCCTCACCCGGAATCAGCCGCCCCACCCGGTACTCTCCACCCCGCAGAACCGCACAGCACCGCACAGAACCGCGCAGAACCGCACTAAACTGCACAGAAACGCGCACCCGCTGCCTTACCTGTACCAGACAAAGCTGCCCCCCCCCCCCCCCCCCCCCCCTCCCCACGACCTGAATCCTCCGCCTCAAGGGCTGAAACCCGCCACTAGCAGCACCAGTAGCAGCAGGTTAGGCTGCCCCAGCGCTCGAGTAGCAGCTTAGGCTACCGCTAGTGCACCAGCAGCAGCTTAGGCTGCCCCCAGCGGAACCAGCAGCACGATAGCCTACCGCCAGCAGCAGTCTAGGCCCACCTGCCAGCACCACCCCCGTTTCTAGCTACTCACATGGCTTGTACTCGAGTTCTACAGCTGCAGGGCCAGCCGCAGCGCTCCCGGCAGTGGGGACCTGCGGGTCCAAAGTGTGGAGCCCTTAGCAGTGGCTCAGCTAGCAGTGGGCGAGACGTCGGCCCCTGCGGGTACCGGGCCCTGACATGCCCTGGTGCTGGCACTACCTGCTGGAGTCCTGATCACTCTGCGTCCAACTGCTATCGTCGACTCGACGACCTCCACCGTGAGCGTTTTGGTCCTCACGCTATTACACCGCACTGGTCCTCGCGACTTCGCCAGCGCACTGCTGCACTAGTTGAGTCTCACCTACCTGGTCTAGGACCTTTCCTGGCTGCACGAGTAGAGACCTGTGTTTTCCAGTCTTGGTGCGTATGTTGTTTCCAGTCCAGGCGCCTCTGAGGGTCTTTGTGTAGGAGCTGCAGCTACCACTAGTCTAGCACTAGCCTTTGTAGCTGGTTCGGGTGCGACCCCACAGACTGCACAACTTTCCTTCACCCTAGACTCTGGAGCGTCTAGCTGTTTCTTTCGCGACTGTACTGACCTCACACCACTACGCACTCTAGTCACTGTCGCCTTGGCTGACACCTCTGTGGGACGTGTAGTTGCTCGCAGCACCACCACTCTTCCGTGTCCGGCGGATCCGTCAGGTTTTCTTACAAGTTACTACACCCCCTCAATCTGTAGGAACCTGGTGGGTGTCAGTCACCTCCACGACCTAGGTGTAGTCACCACTTTCCCACAGGACGAGCCTGTTGCCTCCTGCACAGTCGGTACCACTGGGGCCCCTCTCACCACTTTTCACAGAGAGCTGGGCTCTGGTCTGTACTCACTACACACTGGGTCCTACCGCACTGGGTCAGGCCAGGTCAGGTCAGGTCAGGTAGCTGCTGTGTCGTGCGACTGTCGCTCCCTCACCCACCCGTCTGTCCTTTGGCACCACCGTCTAGGTCACCCGTCGTTCCCACGTCTCAGTAGGATGGCACGTTACCGTCTGGTCTCAGGTCTCCCAGAGTCGCTTGCCCCGCTTCCTCGCTCGCCTGCGCCGCTGTGCACTCCTTGCGTCGAGGGTCGACAGCGCGCTGTCCCTCACTCCTCCTCATTCCCCCCCACCACGGCTCCCTTCCAGACCCTCCACTTGGACGTCTGGGGCCCCTCCCTGGTCCTTGGACCACGTCAGGAGCGCTACTTCCTGATTGTGGTGGACGACTACTCCCGCTACACCACGGTTTTCCCCTTGCGACGGAAGGCCGACGAGCCTACCGTCCTCGAGCCGTGGCTACTAGCGTGGGGTGGTGCCCAGGGTCTGTGTGGGCTTCGCCTACACTCGGATCGTAGTGGTGAGTTTTCTTCCACTCGTTTGGAGACGTTCTGTCAGGGTCGGGGAGTCATTCAGTTGTACACGCTACCAGCCTCACCGCAGCAGAACGGGGTAGTCGAGCGTCGCATCGGCCTGGTCATGGAGGTTGCCCGGACCTCCATGTGCCATGCCGGTGCCCCTCAGTTCTTGTGGCCTCAGGCGGTCCGCTACGCCGCGCACCAGCTGAACTTGTGGCCCAGTGACGCACGGCCACGGGTGACGCCGGTCTCTCTCTGGTAAGGTTTACAGGGTGTAGCAGCTGACTTCCGCGTCTGGGGTTGTCTGGCTCACGTTCGCGCCCCTGGCGCGAACAAGTTGTCTCCGCGCACTCGTGCCTGCGTAGTTCTTGGCTTCCCTTTGGACGCCTCCGGCTGGGTGTTCTACGACCCGGTCACCTGCGGGTTCTTCGCTTCTCGTGACGTCACGTTCGACGAGTCTGTGTGTTACTACAGGAGTCGCCCCCACCGAGGTACTGAGGTCTTTTCCCCCCCCGCTGTTCCTCACCCTTGAGCCTCCCCCAGTCGCCCGGTAGCCCCCCCCCCTTCGCGTCCTACCCCGTCAGGTGTGTCGCACGTCACTCCACAGTCGTCCCCCCCGCAGCATCCAGTCCCTGTCGTGTCTGGGGGTGCGGGAGGTGCAGTTGCGGAGGGTGAGGGTACTGGGGCTGCAGGAGCTGGTGGTGTTGGTTCTGGGGGTGCAGGGGTTGTGGGCGTGGAGGTCACTCTTGTGGAGGACACGGCAGCCTCGAGTCGGCGGCCTCGCCCCGCCTCACCCCCTGGCTTCCCGTCCGTCCCGCAGCTTCCTCCTCGTCCTTCTCTGCCGCCGGTTGCTGCGGAGCCTGGGGGTGTTCCTGCGGGAGGTACTGGAGGCCCCGGGGGTGTCGGTGTTGGAGGTGCTGATTTTGGGGGTGCTGGAGCTGGAGGCACTGGCACTGTGGCGCCTACACCGCGCACTGTACGTTTTCTTACCCGTGAGCAGCGCCTGCTTCGGTTGGAGAGAGAGGAGCGTGAGCGGTTTGAGAGGGCACAGCAGCAGCAGCAGGAGAGAGTAGAGGGGGAGTCACAGCCGCAGCAAGAGAGTGTAGAGGAGGAGTCACGGCCGCACCGGGAGAGGGTAGAGCAGGAGTCCCGCCCACAGCAGAAGGTGCAGTTACAGATACAGCAGGAGAGAGTAGAGGAGCAGTCCCGGCCGCACCAGAAGATGGTAGAGCAGAGGTCCCACCCACAGCAACAGGTGCAGTTACAGACCCAGTAGGAGAGAGTAGAGGAGGATTCACGACCGCAGCAGGAGAGGGTAGCGCAGGAGTCCCGGTCGCAACAGCGGGTGCAGCTGCAGTCGCAGCAGGAGAGGGCAGAAGCGGAGCCACATGAGCAGCAGCAGGGGCCGGTACCGTCGCAGCAGACGCCAGAAGAGGCGGAGCAGCAGCGACTGCGACTACGCGACCTCCCCGACCCAGCATCTGCACGCTTTGTTCGTGGTCCCCTACCGTCCCCGCCTGTTCCCCCTGTTGAGTCCCTTTCCTCGTCCCAGTGGACTCCTCATTCTCCCCTCAGTCGTGCTGTGTCCCCAGAGCGTCGTCGGTCCCGTTACCGTGCAGACGGTCCGTTCCACCTTGTTCTTCGCTCGCGTGTTCCACCTCCTCCTGTCCTTCCACAGCCCCCTGAGTCGTCCCTCACTGTGCTTCACGACCCGTTGTCCGACTACCTCCGTGCCTCCCGTCCTATGGTCTCCCGTGTTTTGTCCGCGTTGGTCACTCACCCGACAGCACCTCTGTCGTCTGTCTCAGCTCTTGTTACCACTGTCGCTGGCTTTGCCTCTTCCCACCGCTTTGAATACGCCGCTCACGTGGTGAGTGGCCTTGCTCGTTCTCCGTTCTCTGGGGGTGCTCCTGTCTTTCCCGTGGAGGTCCTTGAGGACAGGCAGTTTGAGCTTGGTTTCCTTGCGGCAGCTGTTCCTCATCTCTGCGCCATGCTACTTGCCCCTGAGGGGGATCCAGACGCCCTTGACATCCCGATCCCTCACAACACGTGAGTGGCACGACACACTTCGCTCGACCCTTGCAGCTCTTGACTTCTTTCCGTCGTCTGCTGACCCGTCACTGTTCGTTCGCCGTGGCTCGACCCCGTTCTTCTTCCTGGTCTACGTCGACGACCTGGTGTTCGCCACTCCCGACCGACGCGCGCTGGCCTCCGTGAAGGAGGAACTGCTGAGGAGACACACTTGCACTGACCTTGGTGAGCTGTAGCACTACCTTGGCCTGCAGATCACCAGGGACAGGGCAGCTCCCACCATTACGCTGACTCAGTCGCATATGGTCGAGCAGATCCCCACTCGGTTTCGCTTCCCGTTCTCCAAGGTACAGCTCACCCCTCTTGGTGTGGATCATGGGCTCACGGCTCCACCTTTGGACGAGCCATTTGAGTCCATCGGTCCATATCCTGAGCTGGTGGGTTGTCTCATGTACCTGATGACCTGCACTCACCCAGACCTAGCTTACCCTCTTAGCATCCTTGCGCGCTTTGTTGCACCTGGGAGACACCGACCTTCCCACTGGTACGCGGCTAAGAGGGTGGCGAAGTATGTGGCGAGTACATCAGGCATGGGACTTGTCCTTGGAGGGAAGCAGCCAGTTACACTTACAGGTTACTTGGACTCGTCGTGGGCCGACGACGCGGAGATGCGTCGGTCTACACAGGGGTACTCCTTGAGCCTCGGGGCAGGTGCTGTTTCGTGGCGGTCGACTCGGGCGTCGTCTGTCGCCGGTTCCAGCTGTGAGGCAGAGGTGTACGCCGCGGCCATGGCCGCTCAGGAGCTTCGCTGGCTGTCTTTCCTTCTCACCGACCTTGGTGAGTGGCCTCGCTCTCCCCCAGTCTTGTTCGCCGACAACAGGTCTGCTGTTTTGTTGTGTGAGGAGCCCCGACTGGTTGGGAAGGCGAAACACATCCAGCTTGGTTACTTCCTTCTACGTGAGTTGCAGCAGTGTGGCCAGGCCCGCGTGGTCCGTGTGGTCTCTGAGGCCAACACTGCAGATATCTTCACCAAGGTGTTGCTGCCTTGTGACCACCAACGTTTCTGCACCCAGCTTGGCCTTGTGCCTGCCCGTTCTCACTTGCTTACGTAGAGATGCCTTGTCCTGCATGTCTTGTACTCTAGCATTTATATATATTTGCTATATACCTGCATGTGGACTGGCCTTGTGGCCCCTTGCTTGCTCTCGGAATGTGTGGTGACTTTGAGCTCCACCCTGAGATTTGTATTGTTCTTGTGGACTGGTCTTGTGACCGTTGCTTGCTCTGTTGTTCCTACAGGACTACCGCCACCTAAACTATGGGGGTGTGTCAAACTATATTTCTATAGCTTGTGTAGTTCTAGTCTAGGTGTTCTCCCTTGTGTTATTTTGTACTTGCAATAGGGTTAGGTTTTGCGTATATCTTGTTTGTACTTTCTGTATTTTAGTTTAACTTTTACATTGTGACAATGTGATCGGCCGCTGTCATGAAGCTCCTCCCTTTTGCTTTCCCACACCCCACTTGCGTGTAGAGCCATTCCTCGCGGTTGCCACCCGTGGAGATCAAGACAATGGCAGGATCCAGCAGAAGGGGTGTGATCAGCGGCGAAGCTGGCAGGGAAGCAGTTGCACATTACCACTTGGAAGTTAACACAAGTACACATGAAATGGTGAGAGCAACCAAGAGAGACACAGCAGTTACCATTAATACGGTGCACCCTTCCCAAGGTAAGTTTCCATCCCGATATTATTTTGCCGGTACGTAAGAAAGGCATCATGGTTGAAGTCGTAATACCACTTGTTGTTCAATGCACTGATACCACTTGTTACCACTGATACCACAAGTACACATGAAATGGTGAGAGCAACCATGAGAGACACAGCAGTTACCATTAATACGGTGCACCCTTCCCAAGGTAAGTTTCCATCCCGATATTATTTCGCCGGTACGTAAGGAAGGCATCATGGTTGACGTCGTAATACCACTTGTTGTTCAATGCACTGATACCACTTGTTGCTCATGGTTACCATTAATACGGTGCACCCTTCCGAAGGTAAGTTTCCATCCCGATATTATTTTGCCGGTACGTAAGGAAGGCATCATGGTTGACGTCGTAATACCACTTGTTGTTCATGGTTGCTCTGATACCACTTGTTGTTCAATACACATCATTCTGAGTGCATCTCATCCCTAACGTCCTGCCGAGTGCTCATGCTATTTGTGCTTGCATGATTTGCATGAGCATATGTCATTATGCATGGCTGTTGGATATTGTCATCTCTGTGTTTTTCTCCAAGTCTAAATGCTGATCATGCAGGAGAAATCCAGAGCTTTCCAACGATACCAAGATCGCCTTATTCCGACAAAGATCGCCCAAGTTACAAGATTTCCAAGACTTGGATTTCTTATTACCTTTTAAGGTTATATCTAATTTGGGTGATTACTTGGGACATGACTATAAAGGGAATATTTGGTTGGGTGGTTAGGGAAGGCAACTTTGACTTTTGGTTTGGGGTGGCTAGAAGTTTCTAGCATGGGTTTGCAAATGTTTGCAACACCTAGGCTAAACCAACTAGAATTGGATTTTGCATGTGACACCTCAAGGACCTCATAGATGGGTGCATCCTTGCTGCTAGGAAGGTTCCTACCATCCTTCCCCTAGCTCCTGGAGAACCCCTTTCCCTCTCATGGTTCTCTTGGAGGTTCCCAACTCCAACTTCCTATTTCTACATGCTTGTACTTCCCCTACCATTCTAGTGATGCGGCTGCTGGACGTTTTTACATGGTTCTCACTCTCTAGACCATCTTAACGACTGATTCAACTTGGAGATGGTAGCTAAGCCTAAGGCGCACAATCCTACCGAGCGGATTTGCGTTTAGTTGAGTAATAAGTTCGTCGTAAGTTCTCAAAGTGACAGATCCTGAACAGCAAGTGGTATCAAAGCGGGTAGTCGACTTCGAGACGACGAATCGTCGTGAATTCTCAACCAATGATGTCGAGTGAAGACCATTTTCTAGTAGCTCTGCATGCGAACTTTCGATTGATGTCAAACCGCGTTCTTATTCGAAAAATTCAGTCCACGACGGCATGTTTGTAGAATCGAAATTTCCTGGCAGAATTCTCTCCAAACGATTTCTCAAGTTTCCACCGTTCATAAGGCCTCAATATGGTTGGTACAAACTCCGGAGGTGCTAGTGGCGAGATGGATAGAAGTAGAGAGGCTAGAGAGCAGGGGGGAGTTGCTGGTGGAGGAGTGGGGACTCACCAACCAGCCAACCCTACGCTACCTACGTCTACTACCACCATCTCTAACAACCGTGGATCCCGTGAAGGCGTTCTCTATTGAGAAATTCATGGGGGAGGACTACGAGCACTGGAGCTTCCGCATGAGGCTGATGTACACCCAATACAAGCTATTGGATCTGGTGGAGGGGAAGGAGAAGATGCCGGAGGCCGCGGAGCTGAAAGGAGCGTGGATGAAGCGATCGTTCGATGCGTACATGCTCATGGTGCAAGCGGTTGGCGGACGACAACTTGACCACATCAAGGACGTCTTGGGTGATCCAGAGTGTGGCCCCAAGGCTTGGAGGAAGCTTCTGGATGTGCACTCACCGACACATGCTACCGGCATCGTGCTACTTGCGCGGCGGCTGCGCGACATCAAGTTCGTTGATGGAGAGCCGATGCAACGGTGTTGGATGAGATGCGGGACATCTTCACGAAGCTCCAAGGAGGCGGTGTGGTGTACCCGGAGCTCGTGCAATGCGTGGAGATTGTGATACGGCTGCGGAGTCGTGGTCTGCCCTAGCGATCAACCTCAACTCCCAACAACCCCAATGGAGCGTGGATTACATTCGCACGCGCATCCTAGAGGAGGACTTGCGGCGGCGGAGTGTGGAGCGCTCGGAGGAGGGGGCTGGCTATGGAGTTGGAGGTGGAAAGAGTGGCTTCAAGAAGAAGTGGAAGGGCAAAAACAAGGACAACCCTAAGGAGGATGGCGGCGGGGGTCAAGGGGAGGTGTGTTTCTACTGCAAGAAGCGCGGACATCGTTGGCGGAAGTGCTACCAACGACCCAAGGATTGGACCCCGCCTTCATCGAGCAACCTGCATGGTGGCAAGAGGAGTGGGGGAGTCATGGGAGCTAGTGGTGAGGAGAAGGAGGAGGAGAAAGGCGGCAAATCTGAGGAGCGGAAGGTTGGGTTCTTCTTTTTCGTGAACGAAGGCACAACCGACCTCGCTATGGCTGCCAAGGTTCTCCTACACCCCCTCACCCATTGGGTGATTGACTCGGGAAGCTCCTGGCACATGACTCCTCGTGCGGACCTACTCGATGAGATTCAGCCCGCACCTATCTCTACGGTCACATCCGCGACGGGCGCCAAGGCCAAGGTCATGGGCATGGGATGCGCCAAGTTTATGGGAGCGGATGGAGAGCTCGTGGGGCTGAAG